AAAGAAATATTTTTTGAAGGATCTCAACGTGGATTTAAAAAAATATTTTCTGAAGAATCTCAACGTGGATTTAAAAAAATATTTTCTGAAGGATCTCAACGTGGATTTTTTTAAAAAATATTTTCTGAAGAATCTCAACGTGGATTTTCTTAAAAAATATTTTCTGAAGAATCTCAACGTGGATTTTCTTAAAAAATATTTTCTGAAGAATCTCAAAGTAGATTTTTTTGAAGGATCTCAACGTGGATTAAAAAAAATATTTTCTGAAGAATCTCAACGTGGATTTTTTTAAAAAATATTTTCTGAAGGATCTCAACGTGGATTTTTTTAAAAAATATTTTCTGAAGAATCTCAACGTGGATTTTTTTTAAATATTTTCTGAAGAATCTCAACGTGGATTTTTTAAAAAATCATTTCTGAAGAATCTCAATGTGGATTTAAAAAATATATATTTTTTGAAGGATCTCAACGTGGATTTTTTAAAAAAATAATTTTTGAAGAATCTCATGGATTTTAAAAAAAAAATATTTTTTGAAGGATCTCAACGTGGATTTAAAAGAAATATTTTTTGACGGATCTCAACGTGGATTAAAAAAAATATTTTCTGAAGAATCTCAACGTGGATTTAAAAAAATATTTTCTGAAGGATCTCAACGTGGATTTTTTTAAAAAATATTTTCTGAAGAATCTCAACGTGGATTTAAAAAAATAATTTTTGAAGAATCTCAACGTGGATTTTTAAAAAAAATATATATTTTTTGAAGGATCTCAACGTGGATTTTTAAAAAAAAATATTTTTTGAAGAATCTCAAAGTGGATTTAAAAGAAATATTTTTTGAAGGATCTCAACGTGGATTAAAAACAATATTTTCTGAAGAATCTCAACGTGGATTTAAAAAAATATTTTCTGAAGGATCTCAACGTGGATTTTTTTAAAAAATATTTTCTGAAGAATCTCAACGTGGATTTAAAAAAATATTTTCTGAAGGATCTCAACGTGGATTTTTTTAAAAAATATTTTCTGAAGAATCTCAACGTGGATTTTCTTAAAAAATATTTTCTGAAGAATCTCAACGTGGATTTTCTTAAAAAATATTTTCTGAAGAATCTCAAAGTAGATTTTTTTAAAAAATATTTTCTGAAGAATCTCAACGTGGATTTTTTTAAAAAATATTTTCTGAAGAATCTCAACGTGGATTTTCTTAAAAAATATTTTCTGAAGAATCTCAAAGTAGATTTTTTTAAAAAATATTTTCTGAAGAATCTCAAGTGGATTTTTTTTAAAACATATTTCTTGAAGGATCCCAAAAAAAAATAAATGTGGATTTAAAAAAAATATTTTTTTTTGATGGATCCCAAAAAAACGTGGATTTTTTTAAAAAAATATTTTTTTGAAGGATCCCAAAAAAACGTGGATTTTTTTAAAAAATATTTTTTGAAGGATCCCAAAAAACGTAGATTTTATTAAAAAATATTTTCTGAAGAATTTCAACGTGGATTTTTTTTTAAAATATTTTTTGAAGGATCCCAAAAAAAAAAAATAAACGTGGATTTAAAAAAAATATTTTTTTGAAGGATCCCAAAAAAAAAACGTGGATTTAAAAAAAATATTTTTAAAGGGTCCGGACGTGAATTTAAAAAAAAAATATTTTTTTTTAAGGCTTTCAAAAATGGATTCTTTTTCAAATTGTTTTTTGAAGAATCTCAAGAAAAATAAACGTGGATATTTTTAAAAACCATTTTTTGAAAGATCCTAAGAAAAATAAAACTTAATTTTTTCGAGAAAAAAATGTGGATTTTAAGTTAGATGTCGAGATTCACGATATATTTCTATGATAGTATCGATTTTATATTAACACCTAAAAAAGTTTTATTAAACTGAGAAAAGTGTTGTATAGGGTATCACACTTTACATTTCCGGTTCGAAACGAAGATCCCAATTATAATCAAGACACATCAAACCTTTTTATTACTTTTTAGTTAATTATTTGTATTAAACCCTGTTTGAATTTTTAATAAACTGTGGGAACGTGTGATTTTATTAAAAAAAAAAAAAAACAATTAATTTTAATGAATACAATAACAATTAATGTTCCTTGTTATCGCTACTAAATTTGTAGGTGCTGCTGCTGCCACTCACTGATGGCGTCATTGATGTTTAATTATTGTTAAATTTGTTCTCATGGCAACTAAACTTTAGAGTCAATTTTATATATTTCCCCCCGGCCGTAAACTGAACGCTCGCACACATACACAAGCTCTAATAAATTTAATTTTATGCATGAGTCGATGTACATATTAAACACATGGATACATGTATGTATGTATGCCATACAATGGGATGTACTGTGTTCTAAAATAAAAAATGCAAGGATTTTGATCCTGTTAATATTTTAAGATGCTGAATTAATGATGATAATAGATCTAAGAGGTGATTTAAAAACAGTTGTAAAGATTTCGTGGAATTATGAAGTGATTTTATTTATTAAAATATTTTGCACACGTCAGGATAATATAGTCCCCAGCTAGTTCAGTGTTTTTTCTGGACGAAAATTGGCGTGTAGAAGTTTTCATAAGGTCATTAAAGTTCTTAGTTTTAAGAAAACAGAGGGAATGAGGTGTTCCTTTTGTTATTGGGGAGTATTTTGTGCGGGTTTGAACTATGCAGTGTGAGATGAAAAAACTGCAACCAACTTCAGACTGCTGTCATTTCTAGGCCACTCGTCCGACACCAGTTAAAATTATTCCAGTAACAGCTCATTATATTGTTTACAAACGTACAAAAGCATTTTGGTGAGAATTTCCAGAAAAACGTTATTCGTGATGGAATCTAAGCGTGATAGTGTGATTTCTTATATTTGGCTCTAAAACCACAAGTGGCTATCGTTAGAGGACTCCAACATTTAAATGTGAATAAATCTTATGTGTCTTGACGTCAAAGAAGTGGACGGAAGAAAACAGCAACATCAGCAGAAATGGTTCGAAAAATAAAGAAGCGACTTGATTGAAATCCGCGTCGCAGTTGCCGAAAAATGGCTCGTGAGCTGAACATATCGCAATATTTCATTTGGCAAATATTAAAAAATGAGCTCGGGGTAAAGCCATTGAAATTCTAAAAAGTGCAAGAAATTACACCGCAACAGAAAAAAAGAGCTAAAGAGTTGCTTCGCTTGGCCGAAAGTGGTGAACTGCTGAATTTGGTTTTTTTTCCAATGGGAAAACATTCGTTGTCCAGCACTTACCAAAGGGTCAGCTGAAAATGTGCACATTCGGTTGGTCACCAGAACTCAAGCGCCGGCAATTATGATGGTGTTGGCCGCCATAACAGCCGATGGTCGGTCTCTGCTCGTACTAATCGACCGTGACATCAAAATAAATGCCGAATATTATCGTGAAAATTTCCTGGAGGGTGTTGGCCGCAGACCTTGAATATTCCAACAGGCCTCAGCACCGTCGCAATCAGCACGCACCACCCCAGAATGGTTTCAAAATGAGGTTCTTCGCTTCATTTACAGCGCACAATGGCCACCAAAATCTCCGGATACCAATCCGTTGAACTATTGTGTCTGGAGTATTTTGGAAAGCAAGTAAAGAATACCAAAGTGTCGCTCATCTCAAGCAAGCGCTTCGTCGGGAATGGGTCAAAATACCGCAGAGGAACTTTCGGGCAGCGTGTGACGGTTTCATTAGCCGTTTGAAGGCCATAATGCGACATTTTTTGCTTTCATTCAATAAAATTTAAAAATTATGGCTTTTGACTTTGTTGCAGTTTTTTATCTCACCCTGTATATTTTTGATCACCATGAAATTCTATTTCGATTTAGAGATGTCCGTCCGTCTGTCTGTCTTTACTTTGAGGTGTTTTATGTCCGTAGAAGTTTTGGATTTGAAAATAGGCTATATAAGTCCATATTTTGGTTCAGGCCCTATATAACAGTATTTAAGGTTATTTTTGGATGTTTTAGTCACAATTTCAATTTGCTATAAATTGACTCTATTTTTCTAGTGTGCAGGAAGCAGCCTTGCTCTATGAACTATAGATATATATCTAAATTTTGGTATCGAGCCTCCAGACGTTACGGAATTATGATGATTTGTGTCGCAGTCATCACCGGGATCGTTTCAAATTTGGTGTTCATAATTGGTACAACCTCCTATGATGGACAATTCCCTATAACCGTGCCTCTATATATTCAGTATTTTGATGATTTTAGCCTCACATTTCACTAGAACTAATTCACGCCTTCGTGTAGCCTCCATATACCGATATATTTTCATAATTTAAGTGATATTTTTCTACAGAATAACTTAAATTTGTTGCTTGGAGTTCGTAATAGGCACTACTTTGTCTGTCAGGTAATTAGCTGTAAAGGTCCACGTTTTCCCACAACCACATATATCTGATATTCCGGATTTTTTAAATTATATCGGGATTTTTAATTGATTTTTTACATACAAATGGTAAAATGGTTAATGGCAAAAGGTTTTAAAGTTTCGGTCCAGCCAAAATTAGCTGCCTTTTTACTTGTTTTATATTTACGTCATCCTTCTTGGTTTCTTTATTTTTTGTAAAAATATTCCCAGGCTTCTTCCAAAGTTCTTCCCCTCAAATAAAAGTTTCTCAGTTTCAGGAAATTCCAAAAAAAAAAGAAAATAAATATAATGGGGTCAAGTTGAAGACCGGAGAGGACTAATTCATAATTGTGAAACAAAAAAGAAACTCGCTATAAATAAATATTAAAAACACAAACTTTTCAGGCACTTTGCTGTAGTTGTTGCAGCATCAATCCAACTTAATATACCCACCCTCACCTGCAACGTAAATGTTTGAATATTTTGATCCAACGTATATGTTATTAACACAACACAAGTGCAACACAGTGCACAACAGGCATGTGTGTTGATTTAAGTTGGGAGTCCTACATACATACATACATACATACATGGGGATATACATACATACCAGCTCTGTTGTATATTGATGACTTTATTGAATTTACCTTGTGTGTACATAGTTGATACGGAAACTGTGGTATCCGGTCGCTTCGATGTCGTTTCACGTTGACTGTTGCTGCTGCTGTTGCCGGTGGGCATGGCAGCAATGAGATGATGATGTTGATGCTTTCGGCCATAGCCACCACCCCCAACGCCAGTGCGTTGATGCTGTTGCTGGTGGTGGTAGTGCTGATGCTGGTGATGTGTAGAGGCTGCTGTTATTGTGGCAATGGCAGCAGTATGGCCCACTTGTGGTGGTGCCATACTCGTTGTTTGCCACAAGCTGTCGCTTAGTTCCGATATGTTGATGAAAAGTTTTGGACAAGTCTAAAGTGAAATATTAAAAATCCGCAAATGCACCCACGTGAAGTTTGCGCGCGCACACACACACACCACTCACAGAGAGTCACTCACTCGCACACAAATGGAGTCCTTTGCAGACTGTGTTAGGAAAATTAAAGCTATGCACTTGGTTGACTTTTCTTTTTGTGATAGTTTGGTTCTTTGCTTTAAACTTTGTTGCTGTTGTTGATGCTGTTGTTGTAAGGGTGGATAGTCTCAGATAACTTTTGACGTTGACTTACTGTCTCTCCGTCCGTCCATCTGTCTGTCTTTCGTCCTGTTTGCCTGCTGTGGTAATGCACATTTGTTGATGTTTAGTAGTGTAGTCAGTTTTCAGTTAGTGGTGTTGACGTTGGCTTTCCATGCCTGATATCTCTCGTTTGTGTGTGTGGCACACATACGTGCACATATGACATGAATGTCCACCACATGCATATATGTGTCAGTGGGCCTTGCAACTTGACGTTTAGTGTTGCAGCAAGTGTTTATGTGAGTATATCAATGTGTAGACATTTCAGTGTGATTTGTTCAATTTGATGTTTGGCCATCATATTTCATAATAATGTTCATCGATGCTGTCAACGTTATATATGTATGTGTGGCCACATGTCGAAGCAATGGCATATGGTACATGATCACTGGCAACGAATATTAAAATTTGGAATGTCGAGCGAAAAGCCAGCTGAGTTGCTGGCGACTATGTATTTTGTACTTTAAAAAAAAAAATGTATATTTTGAAAAAACTCCATTGATCTATGACAAAGGTAACCTAAAAATTCACAATTATAGCTTTAAGAATATTTTTTCCAAAATCATTAGACCTCTAAAATTGGATTTTCTAATAATATGTTTTCCAAGAGCTCTCAACGTGGATTTTTAAAGAATATTTTTTCCTAGATCATCACAGCTTTAAACGTGGATTTCTAAAGAATATTTTAAAACAAGAGCACTAAACTTTGATTTTTAAAGAATATTTTTTCCAAATTTTTAAAGAAATTTTTTTCATTGATCATCATAGCCCTAAACGTGGTTTTTTAAAGAATATTTTTTCCAAAAGCTCTAAACGTGGATTTTTAAAGAATATTTTTTCCAAAAGCTCTAAACGTGGATTTTTAAAGAATATTTTTTCCAAAAGCTCTAAACGTGGATTTTTAAAGAATATTTTTTCCAAAAGCTCTAAACGTGCATTCTTAAAGAATATTTTTTCCAAAAGCTCTAAACGTGGATTTTTAATGAATGTTTTTTCCAAAAGCTCCAAACGTGGAATTTTAAAAGAATATTTTTTCCAAAAGCTCTAAACCTGGATTTTTAAAGATTTTTTTCCCAAAAGCTCTAAACGTGGATTTTTAAAGAATATTTTTTCTAAAAGCTCTAAAAGTGGATTTTTAAAGAATATTTTTTCCAAAAGCTCTAAAAGAGGATTTTTAAAGATTTTTTTCCAAAAGCTCTAAAATTGGATTTTTAAAGAATGTTTTTCCAAAAGCTCTAAAAGTGGATTTTTAAAGAATTTTTTCCAAAAGCTCTAAAAGTGGATTTTTAAAGAATTTTTTCCAAAAGCTCTAAACGTGGATTATTAAATAATTTTTTCCAAAAGCTCTAAACGTGGATTATTAAATAATTTTTTTCCAAAAGCTCTAAACGTGGATTTTTAAATAATTTTTTTCCAAAAGCTCTAAACGTGGATTATTAAATAATTTTTTTCCAAAAGCTCTAACCGTGGATTTTTAAATAATTTTTTTCCAAAAGCTCTAAACGTGGATTATTAAATAATTTTTTTCCAAAAGCTCTAAACGTGGATTTTTAAATAATTTTTTTCCAAAAGCTCTAAACGTGGATTATTAAATAATTTTTTTTCCAAAAGCTCTAAACGTGGATTTTTAAATAATTTTTTTCAAAAAGCTCTAAACGTGGATTTTTAAATAATTTTTTTCAAAAAGCTCTAAACGTGGATTTTTAAATAATTTTTTTCAAAAAGCTCTAAACGTGGATTTTTAAAGATTTTTTTCCAAAAGCTCTAAACGTGGATTTTTAAAGATTTTTTTTCCAAAAGCTCTAAAAGTGAATTTTAAAAGAATTTTTTTCCAAAAGCTCTAAACGTGGATTTTTAAATAATTTTTTTCGAAAAGCTCCAAACGTGGATTTTTAAATAACTTTTTTCCAAAAGCTCTAAACGTGGATTTTTAAAGATTTTTTTCCAAAAGCTCTAAACGTGGATTTTTAAATAATTTTTTTCCAAAAGCTCTAAACGTGGATTTTTAAATAATTTTTTCCAAAAGCTCTAAACGTGGATTTTTAAATAATTTTTTTCCAAAAGCTCTAAACGTGGATTTTTAAATAATTTTTTCCAAAAGCTCTAAACGTGGATTTTTAAATAATTTTTTTCCAAAAGCTCTAAACGTGGATTTTTAAATAATTTTTTTCCAAAAGCTCTAAACGTGGATTTTTAAATAATTTTTTTCCAAAAGCTCTAAACGTGGATTTTTAAATAATTTTTTTCCAAAAGCTCTAAACGTGGATTTTTAAATAATTTTTTTCCAAAAGCTCTAAACGTGGATTTTTAAATAATTTTTTTCCAAAAGCTCTAAACGTGGATTTTTAAATAATTTTTTTCCAAAAGCTCTAAACGTGGATTTTTAAATAATTTTTTTCCAAAAGCTCTAAACGTGGATTTTTAAATAATTTTTTTCCAAAAGCTCTAAACGTGGATTTTTAAATAATTTTTTTCCAAAAGCTCTAAACGTGGATTTTTAAATAATTTTTTTCCAAAAGCTCTAAACGTGGATTTTTAAATAATTTTTTTCCAAAAGCTCTAAACGTGGATTTTTAAATAATTTTTTTCCAAAAGCTCTAAACGTGGATTTTTAAATAATTTTTTTCCAAAAGCTCTAAACGTGGATTTTTAAATAATTTTTTTCCAAAAGCTCTAAACGTGGATTTTTAAATAATTTTTTTCCAAAAGCTCTAAACGTGGATTTTTAAATAATTTTTTCCAAAAGCCCTAAAAGCTCCAAAAGCTCTAAACGATTTTTAAAGATTTTTTCCAAGAGTATAAAACGTGAGAGCTCTAAACAATTTTTAAAGAATTTTTTTTCCAAGAGCATAAAACATGAGAGCTCTAAACGATTTTTAAAGAATTTTTTTTCCAAGAGCATAAAACGTGAGAGCTCTAAACATGAATTTTTAAGAATATTTTCCAAGATCATCAGAGCTCTAAACATGAATTTTTAAAGAATATTTTCCCAAGATCATCACAGCTATAAATGTGAAACTTTAAAAAATATTAACTCCACGTTAATAGATCATTAAAAAATATCCTCCCCTATAACCCAAATCTATGTTTTTCATCCATCGAACCTATTCAAATATCTCCCAGTGTACACCTAATTTACAATCTGCTGATTTTCGAAAGTTTTATGGCAATTTGTGTGTTCTGCTCTTTTTTCTACTTCTTGTCTTTTGTTTGTGCTCCCTGATTTGTGTGAACAATTTATGCTGATATCACAAAATTGAAAATGAAATATCTTAAGTGTGTGGGTGGGTGTGTGTTTGTCCCCTCTTTGGTGGTGTTGTTGGTAATGGTGATGGTCATGGTAAAAGTTTTGACAATTGTTTTATGAGAATGTTGAAAGTTCTTGTTTTTCTCCAGTTATTTATTGATTACGATTTACAACTTCGTCCTTTTTTCCCCCAGAATAAATAACAACTCTTTAGTTTCTGTCCTAAGATATATTTTTACATATGTGTGCGTGTGTGTTTTGCATCTAGAATTTGTGTAAAGTTTCCATGTTGAGTAAAAAACTTTGTTAATAAACCATTGTCGAAAATGTCATATCCTTCGTTTGGGGTCATGAGGCTTTTTTGCCGTAGTAGTAGATGATACTTGATGTGAGTGGGTGATGGGTGTTTGAAGGGGAAACTTGTTCTGCATAAGCTAATTGTAAAATTTTGGGAAATTATAATATGTTTCTGATTTAGGTACATGAAATAATTTTGGATGTGAGTGTTCATTTCAGATTTGAAATCAAAACTAATTCTCTGTTCCTCGACTGAACATTTTTTCCAATACTCCAATGAGTCATAATAGCCTTCTTCCAATATCTCATAGATAGAACAATTTTCTGTCCACTTCATGAAACTCAATTTTGTTCAATGGCCAAAGATACGACTTTCGCATTTAGCCTGGCAATATTAATGCCATAAAAGTTGTAATCTCTGTCATTGGCTGTTCCAGGCAAACAATTCCTCTGAAAAGACACATTGAAGAGGGTATTTTCTGTTACTGCGTCTTTTTGATATAAAAAAGGATAAGGATTGTCGTCGAGCTTGGGATTATTGACTGGCCAGCGCAAATAGAAATCATTTACGAAATTGGATTTGTTTTAAACGGTTCCGTTTTGACGTTAATGCGTGATTATCTTCAAGTGAGCGGGGAGTGTTGAAATATAATGTATCTCATAGAGCATAGTGGATCAATGAAGACCATTACAGCTAAAAACGTGGAAATTTTAAGGAATGCGGATTTTTTTTCTAAGAACATGCAATTTTTTATATTATTTTTTTTTTTAAAGTCAATGGAAGCTGGCAACGTAGATTTTTTAAGAATTTTTTGCAAGATATACCAGAGCCGTAAAATTGTATTCCAATTGTATCCCAAGACCTTCTGAGCTAAAAACTTGGATTTTCTAAGAACATTTTTTTCAAAACCATCTGAGCTGTAAATGTGGACTTTTTTTGTGAATATTTTTCCTAACAACATCAGAGCCATAAGGGTGATTTTTTCAAATTTGATTTTTAAAAATAGTTTTCCAAGACCACCAGAGCTACGTATGTGGTTTTTTTGAGCGAAAAAGTTGAATTTTTATAGAATCTTCTAAAACATTTTTTTTCCGATACCAGTAGAATTATGAATGCGGACTTTTATATCATTTTATTTCCAAGACCATCGGAACTACAAACGTGGATTTCATAAGAATATTTTTCCAATCTTAGCTATGACCGTGATTTTTTAGATTATTTTTTTCCAAGACCACCAGAGCTATAAACCTTCATTTTTTTAAAGTATTTTTTCCAAAACCATTTTTCTAACCATCAACTTGATTTTGTGACTGACTAAGCCTGGATGTTTTAAAACGTGGAGTTTTTGGTAATGTTTCCTTCAGACCATTAGAGCTATAGACTTGGTTTATTTTAGGCTATTTTTTATTTGCATGACCACCAGAGCTAAAAACTTGGGCTTT